AGCCTGCATTAAACTGCCTGCCTCCTGCACTGAACTGCTGCTTGCCTGCCCTATGTTCCTGGCATTGTATTTTAATCAATAGGACTGAGATGGTTTTGGTCCAACTGAAGCTGCACAGCTGTATCCTCATTAGCATCGCACTGACCAATCAGAGCAGTTTCATTCTGACCAATTAGGACAGTGCTTTTTGGACCAATCAAACTGTGAGGATTTGGAGTCCTCATTTGCATGAGAATGGACCAATTAGGGACCAGAGGCAGGAACTTCTCTCTATATAAGTCAGCTCCCCTAGGGCTTAGAGAGTGCCTTTTCCCTTTCCACAGAAGATTGAAGTCTTTGTTTTCCCAGCTGGAGCTGAAACACTGAAGACTTCTCACTGGGCCAGACCAGAGCAAAGTGCAGCGGACCAGGCTGGAGTGGGACTGAACTAGCTAGGGAGGGTCACCTCACAGCTTTGCTGTATCACAGTTGAGCTCTTTGCACTGAATAAAGCCTCCTCCTTCACTGCACCCCAAATTGGGGATTCCTGTTGGCATTGAATTAGTACCACAGACCATTGGTTGACAGCAGTCACTCCCATTCTCCCTTCTCCAGAGTTCGGCAGCCATCAATCTACTTTCCATCGCTATGGATCTGCCTATTCCGGACAGTTCCAGTAAATGGGATCCTACAATATATGGTCTTTGGTGCCTGGCTTCTTTTACACAGCATAAACATTTTCAAGATTAGTCCTGTTGTAGCATGTGTTGGTACTTTATTCCTTTTTATGGATGAATAATATTTCATTGTGTGGATATGTCACATTTTGCTTATCCATTCATTGTTGATGGACATTTGGGTTGCTTCCACTTTTTGGCTAACAAGAATGATGCTGCCATAAATGTTCATGGGCAGGTTTTTGTGTGGATTTATGCCTTCATTTCTCTTGAGTAGATGCCCCGGAGTGGAACTGCTGAGTCACAGGGGAGCTCTGTGTTTAACCTTTTGAGGAACTTCCAGCCTGTTTCCAAAGCCGCTGCACCCTTTTCCATTCCCACGAGGAATGTGCGAGTTAATTTCCTTTTCATCTGTTCATCTCTCTGTGCTTCACTTTGGGTAGTTCCTTTGAGGTATCTCCAGTTCATTCACAGGTCTTGTCCTGTTTAACCAATCCATTCAGTTTCTAATGTCAATTATAATTTTTATTTTTGGAGCTGCTCTTTAGTCCTTTTCTCCAATTTGCCTGCCAATCTGATGGTTTCTTGCTTTTTTATCATACTTTTTGTTTTTGTTTTTTATTTTTTAGCTGAGCCATCCTGCCACCTGTTGGCAGCTCAGCGGCAGCTCAGCTTGGGCCAGGAATCGAACCGCTGTTGCTCAGAGCTCGCACTCTTGAGTGAACTCTTAACTATCAGACTTTCAATATCCTCTCTTATTTCTTTAAATATTTGAAGGAGACGTTGACATAGTTTGTGAATGACAGTTGGAGTGTCTGCAGTTTTTTGCGCCCTGGGCCACAGTGGCTTTTTCTGCCTGCGTTTGCTGATGGTGGCTCATTTCCCACATGCTCTGTGTGCTGTGTGACCTTATTCGTGGGACGTCTGAGAGAGCCGTCTGAAGTGCATTAGCTCCAGACGTGCCTTTGCTTTGCTAGGTCACTTGGGGCTCTACCGACTGGGACTGCTTTAGATGACCCCACTCTGAGTCTTACGTGGCTTCTGGCTCCGAACCCCTGGGAGTGCAGGGCTGTGTTCAGACATTTTCAGGGAGGCTTTGTTCTTCCTTTAAATTTTTTTCTGCACTACTCAGAGTCAAGACCAACATAGGGAAGTCTTCCTCCTACCCTCCATGGGGCAGATTTTATTTTTGTTGTTCACTCACTGGGAATGTCCTTTTTCAGGGGTTTCTCAGCTTTTGGGGGGTTCCTGATCTGACCTTCCTCCTTGTTTAGACCCCCAAGCTTTGTTCCCATGTCCTACATGCTGCCTCACGGCTACCCAGCTCTGAGGTTCCTGGGATCAGAGGTGCCTCCAGA